TGCTTTTCGTGATGACTCTGTCGCAATAGGATGCAATGCGGCATTATTTTCCGGACAACCTAGTACAAATTAGCGCGTGTAAGACGTTGCACTCCTATTTTTTCCACGATTTGTTACCTCATTTGGCATTTGGGACACATAAAGTCTTGTCAGGAGAAGTCGCGTATATCTTATACACTTCATCTTTTTTCATAGTGCTTTTTTGTGTTTCGCTCTGCCTGACAACTTATCTTCACACTACTCTCTTTCCGTCATTTGGTACGCGACACTTCGGATGCATTAGCGATCTGTTATTTGTAAACCTGGATCTACCGTTAGACTCGTCTGAAAAAGCAAAAGACAATGAAGTAATTGCTTACTCTTTTGAAAGTTAAATGGATTAAAAGATCGAAAGCCTCTGACAAGTCGTGAACTTCTCTTGTACAACGTCTTGGTGCTATCCGTCTTCATAGAATGTACGTAATATAGAATTGTTCGCGGTTTAGGTTACGATTTGCGCTTCAAGAAATAAAAGTATAGTTATAAACTACAATCATATATCCCTATGATGATCAAAAGCTGTGAGTAAAGTACGAAGACGTTTTGTTATGGGATAGAACAATTTACTGCAAATCAGACATGGCGCAATCTCCTTTTGATTCAAAGAAAGCGAGAAGGCGGTGCAATTATTCTATTTGCTTTCAGCAACCTCCAGAACGGTGATGAAGTCTATAATGTCAGCACTGTAACAGGCTGTGATTGTCAAGCTCCTCTGACTTGTGACTCCGGCCTATGCATTGAAATCATTACAACAACCCAGGCACCAACAGTGACAACTTCCGCCGCCGTCACCAGTGGAACCGCCGCGCCAGCGGCTGAGACAACAACCCTTCTTTCCTTGGCCGAGTTCCCAGGGTCGAGTACGGCAGGTGAGAACCTCATTACTGCAAGAAGCAGCCCCAATGTTTGTATTACTTTCCAGTTTTGCATGTAGCCTGGACGTGACACTCTTCTCTAAAAGCTCAAGAAACAGAGCCAGCATAGGCAAGAACTTGTGAAAGGGGTCTCACAATCTAGCGAAAGCAGCTTTATATATAGAAACAACAACGAGTTGTTTTTTATGCTTTTTCGAGGTTCGGTAAAGCTAACAATAGTGGCATTGTCTCATTGGGTTTAAGTAGTGATCAAAATGTTGAGATATCCAGAATACTTCAGAGCCAACA